TGTGTGTGTGTGCTAAATTAGAGCTAAAGCATATATATATATAGTGGCATTTGTCCTTTAGCTTAAGTAAGTGTTTTGATAGATTTTTGGTTCAAGTTTTACTGACGTACTTTGCAAACTGAACTCCTTATTTGGATTGGATTGTGTATTTAGCTTATCATCACCTACTTTTAAACTGCTTTTGTTGTAATTGGCGATACAAACCCGATTGTCTGTCTGTCTTGGTGTTACTAATGTTTGTGCAGTCTTGATGCTCATGAGGTTATATACTTTTGTGTTCCTTTGAAAATGTTTAGATGTAGCACGCTTGTTAATTTTGTAACTATTATGTTTTTTCTCTGGTGAGCTGCATTGTATGTTTTGCGCTTTTTCTATCTGAGATTTGGGTTGACTAAACTTGTAATGTGTTTTATGCTACTTCTTTGATTTACATGAATGGAACTTCTCCTTGCAGATCTGCACCAAATGTTTTCAGAAAAGGGGAGACTTTAGAAAGCACATGATGAACATTCTAAAACCACACACTAGAGGAAACGGCATAGTTAATGGCTCAGATGCTAGTCATGATGTAGATTTTGGACAACTAGATAATTTTAAAGGAATGGCGGGGGGTAAGAAACTTTATACTCTCTTGCTATCTTTCATTTACATGACATGTTGTAACTACTTCAAAACTCTTATTAACTCCCTGTGTTAATCTTTGAAACTTGATTTGGCATTAGGTAACCAGCAGTCTTCTTTGGTTGAGTGGTTGAATGGTGTGCTTCCTCATTTAAGTTTGCCCCTGGATGCTTCAGAGGAGGAACTAAGAGCTTGCTTGCTGGATGGCACTGTTTTCTGTAGCATATTGAACAAGCTGAAGCCTGATTCTATTGACATGGTTTAATACCTTTCTTTTTATTTGTTAATAAAAATTAATTTCATCTCATTGAGTTTGTCCTCATTTCAGTTTATTTTTTCTCTTTAACCATACAACACTGCTCTGGGAGATTTGTTTCTCCATCTGAACAGTTTTCTTGTTCTTTAGGGTGGTGCTGCAGAACCTGGTCCAGCTAACATCAAGAGATTTTTGAGAGCAATGGATGAAATGGGGTTGCCCAGATTTGAACTGTTGGACCTAGAGCAGGTATCTGATATTTCTTATAAACCAGTTTTCAGTAAATAGTGTTGTTTTTTATGTCAATGTATTGGATATGAAATTGACCTTCTATGTGCTTTCAAAGTCTACGTAAGTTGTCTGGTTCTGGTCTTTGCAATGATCCCTGCTACTATGTTCTTTTATTGTACATCAATTTCAACAAACATGATTGGTTCGTATTACCTTTCAACCTTTGATTCTTAATTTGGTATCCCAAGCAGGGTTATATGGTCCCAGTTTTACAATGCCTTAGAGTCCTTCAAGCATCATTCAATTGTAATGGTGCTGATAGCAACCAAAATCCTTCAAGAAGGAGATGGAATCTTTCTGGGATAGTTGAAGACATCCAGTTGAAGCAAGGATGTCAAATCGATATTTCTGATGCTGTGATTTTAGAATTAACCAAATCAAACAGTTTAGAAGTAAGACTCTGAAAACAAGTCGTGTGTAAATTTCTTTGCATTAACTAGTGAATGTTGTTATAGATCTAATTTGATTTTCCACACTACTTGTAAAGAATCATGGCCTTCATGCAATTTTCTCTTTTTGCAGAATGCCTCAACTCAATCACTGTGTAGTGTGGCAAACAAGATTATGGATGATAGTATTGAAAGAAAGAATGGGGACATCCCTCATGTATGGAGTGAGAGTGCATAAGGAGCTACATTATTTTAGGAAGCTTGTATTTGTTGATTGTTATTCTTTTCTTTTTTTCATATACTTGTCCTCATGTACCTTCTTTGCTGTATCTTTCTCTATTACCTTTTATTTCTTTCTTCATTTATTTTGGCTTTCTTTTTTTTTCCTCTTTGATTAGCGTATGGCATGTCTTTTGAGAAAGATTGTGCAAGTGATAGAGTGGAGGATTTCAACTCGTGCAGAGAACTTAAAAAATGTAAATTCTAGTTCTTCTTTTTTGTTTCTCCCCAAAGAATTTTTTCTCATTTGATGCCATGCTTAATTTTATACCATTGAACCCTGCAGCAAAATAACCTTTATAAGGATCGTGAGGAGAAGTATCAATCAAGGATGAAAGCACTTGAAACCCTTGCAAAGGGAACCATGGAGGAAAACAAGGTATTTTAGTCAATGGTTTAGAGTGTTTTCCTTAGCTCTCTATTTTATCAACTTGAATATTGATCTGGCACTCTTTGCTGTCCTGCAGGCTGTTATGAATCAGCTAGAACAGATAAAGGTATCATTCTAATATTTCTTCTTACTTATATGCTTAAATCATTTTTATGAAGCCTGTTTTGTTTCTATGGTCCATTTTGTATGGCTTGTTCATATTTTTTGTTTTTGGCCATATCCTAAGGTCCTTTAGTGTGTGTGTGTGTGTGTGTTTTTTGTTACTATCAATTTAATATTTTCCATTATTTTAGTGTGTAAGGTTGGAATATGATCTGCATCTTGCAATATGAATTCTTCACTTCCACTATGCATCAACTTTTCTTCTCAAATATTATTTGCATAATTGCATTTATATTCAAACCTAAAAATTATTCTGACAATATATTGCTGCATATTTTCCTAAAGAATGTGGAACAAGTTTAAGATATGTGTGTGTTTGTTTTATTTTCTCTCATATTATTGATTTATGTGTTCCTTGTGCATTGCAGATTGAGAAAACCAAATTACAAGAGAAGGAAAAACTTGAAGAGCAAGATGTGCTTAAACTAAAGAAAGAGAAGGCTCAGAGCGATATTGAGATTTCTAAACTAAGGGAGGAACTAAAGGCAACCAAAAAGACACATGAGGGACGTTGTTTGCAACTGGAAACACAGGCTGAGGAAACTAGGGTTCAGTTGGAGAGGAAGTTGAAAGAACTTGAGTCCCTTTTAATGAATTCACAGAAGAAGGTGAAAGAGCTTGAATCATTTTCTGAATCTAAGTACAAGAGATGGAAAAATAGAGAGCGCATTTATAGGAGCTTCATTGACCAACAATTTGGAGCTTTAAAGGTTTGTAATATTTGTCATGTTCTTACATGATGGTGTTAATCCATCATCCTTTAACATGACTCTTTTTCTGTTTAGGAATTAAGGGAGGCTTCTGAATCCATCAAACATGATGTCCTCAAAACAAAAAGGAGATACATTGAGGAATTTAGTTTCTTAGGTAGGGCCTTTATTTTTTTTTTTGTTGGTCTTTTTGATATGATATCAAGATGTGATTTTTGTGTTTATGTGTCTTTGTTTCTGGAGTAGGGGTAAAGCTTAAAGGACTAGTAGATGCTGCAGAAAATTATCACACTGTTCTTGCAGAAAATCGGAAATTGTACAATGAGGTTCAGGACTTGAAAGGTACATTGCATTGTTTAACCTTGGTTTGTTGGTTGATGATAGATGGCTGAAGCATGTTTTCTATTTTTTGAGTAGGAAATATTAGAGTTTATTGTCGGATAAGGCCATTCCTTCCGGGACAAAGTAAGAAGCAAACAACTATGGAATTTGTTGGTGATAATGGTGAATTGGTTGTTGCAAATCCCTCAAAACAAGGAAAGGACACTCATAGACTCTTCAAGTTCAACAAGGTGTTTGGTCCAACAGCTAGCCAAGGTTTAATTCTACATATTGTTGATAGTCAAATCTGTTTTCAATTATGTTTTTTCTTTAATTGCAAGGTAGTTTTGTCTTGATACTGATGACTCCTGCATATGTTTCTGTAATGTTGTATTTTGATAGAGGAGGTATTCTTAGACACTCAACCCTTAATTCGATCTGTCCTTGATGGATACAATGTTTGCATATTTGCTTATGGGCAAACTGGCTCTGGAAAAACTTACACAATGGTGAGCAATTATTTATTTCCTGTTGGTTGTTTATGTTATGTTGTTTGTCACAAAATCTCTGGCCCTCCAAAAAATTAAGAGCTTATATCTTTTGCATATTCTGTTCCATTTTCCAGAGTGGGCCTAATTTATCTTCAGAAGAAGACTGGGGGGTCAATTGTAGAGCACTGAATGATCTTTTCCAAATCTCTCAAAGGAGGAAAAACTCCATCTTATATGAAGTTGGTGTTCAAATGGTTGAGATATATAACGAACAAGTTCGTGATTTGCTTACTGGCGATGGTCCTCAGAAGAGATATCCTTTTTCATTATTTGTGGACATCTTTTATATAATGCAAGTATATACTAAACTTTTTTTTTTTAAATAATAATTCTATGTTTCCCTTGACTTGCACACACTTGGGATTTGGAGTACCACCCAACCAAATGGGTTAGCTGTCCCTGAGGCAAGCATGCATTCCGTAAGATCAACTGCTGATGTTCTGGAATTGATGAATATTGGATTAATGAATAGAGCTGTAGGTGCTACGGCCCTCAATGAGAGAAGCAGCAGATCCCATAGGTCATATTTGTAGTTACTATTTTTCATTTTTATATTTCTGTTATTCTAAATTCCATGCCTAATATTTCTTTTTGTTGATTATCATGCAGTGTTCTCACCGTTCATGTTCGTGGCACAGACTTAAAGACTAATTCTGTTCTACGTGGTAGTTTAAATTTGGTAGATCTTGCTGGCAGTGAGAGGGTGGATCGTTCTGAAGCAACTGGGGATAGGCTTAGGGAGGCACAACACATAAATAAGTCTCTGTCAGCACTTGGAGATGTAATCTTCGCTCTGGCGCAAAAGAGTACACATGTGCCTTATAGAAATAGCAAGCTGACTCAAGTCCTCCAAAGTTCTTTGGGTACTTGTTCAATTTTTTCAGCTTTGCTTTTCCTAATCAAATTTTCTTATTTTCAACATGTCCTGAGTTATTGTTCTCTTATTGATATATATATATATATATATAAAATTTCATTTTAAAATTAAATTACAGGTGGTCAAGCAAAAACGCTGATGTTTGTGCAACTAAATCCTGATGTGGATTCATATTCAGAAACCATAAGTACCTTGAAGTTTGCTGAGAGAGTTTCTGGTGTAGAGTTAGGTGCTGCAAAGAGTAACAAAGAAGGCAGAGATATTAGAGAACTCATGGAACAGGTGTTGATCTCTCTACACTCCACCCTCTCATTTTCTACTTTCTAGAAGTTTTAGTCGTTAAAACTATGCAGCCATATAGTAATCTTGGACATCTCTCAAGTTTGGAGAAAACCCAAAAATTATGGTCCAAATTCACCACTTAACATTCCATATGGCATTTTGAATAGGGAAACTATCAGGCAGCATGCTTGCTCTAGCATACTGTATGTACTGCTCTAGTTTGTGCCAGGTTTGCTCTGAGGAAACAATGTGCCTGTGTACAAATTGATTCAAATGGTTGGTGGAAATTCTTAAATGGGTTTATTCAATTTCTTAAGCTGTTGATAACATAGTTATGGTTATAGGATGAAATTCTATTTCTAGCTATTTGGCAGTCTCTTTTGTTATCAAGAAAAGCTAAAGTTGCTTAACTAATTCTGAACTTAATTGTGCTGCTGATACTAATCTGTCGTGTTTTGAGAAAAAGTGCAACGGTCTTCAACATTCCTCAAGTTTATGTTTGAGTTTTTGAATTCTTTAGTTTGAATAGTTTCCAGTTAATCCTGTAACTTCTGGTCTCCTGTTGATCTCATAGGTCTCTTCCCTCAAGGAATCCATCATAAAGAAAGATGAGGAGATTGAGCATCTGCAGATGCTTAGTAAGGGTAATGACAATGGTATTAAGTATGGTAGGAGCTCGGTTAGGTATGGCTCTTCCTCTCCAAGGAATCATACGTCTGGGACTCCTCGACAAAGCAGAATCCAATCCACAGGGAAAGGGTCTGGACATTTTGAGAAAGCAGCCTCAGATATGGACAATTGCTCAGCCTACAGTGATAAGCATTCTGAAGCTGGTTCTCCACATTCAGTGGATTACTCTAGGCCTCAGAAAGAGTTCTCACCTCAGTCAAACACTGCAGGAAAGGATTTGGGTCAGAACTCTTTGGAAGACATTGAGCTTTTGGGCTTTGGGGATGCTGATGATGATGAGAGATTAAGTGATATATCTGATAGTGTTCTATCAATGGGTACAGAAACTGATGGTTCAATATGCAGTGCTGTGGAGTTCACTCTTTTCCCTGAAGTGCCAAAAGTGGATGACAGAGTGGATAAAGTTGAGAAAGCAGAAAAAATAGAGAAGGTTGAGAAAGCTATGAATATTGGGAAGTGAGTACCTCTTAAACTGTTGAACGCTTAGATGCTATATGGTTTGATGAGTAGTTAATTCTTTTCTGGTAAAAATATGCATCTGCTCTCCTGATTTTATGGCTGTTGTCATGCCATCAAGTAGTTTATGTTTGAGTTTTTGAATTCTTTAGTTATTCAATTTTTGATAAAAATATGCAAAATCATAACATTTCCTTGCATGTCTATGCTTTGATATATATGCTTGCTTTCTGCATGATAGAAATCATTCAACTGGCTGGTGATGAAATATCACATTTAAGTCAATCTGACGGTTCTATATATTTTTTGGTTGAGCCCAGATCTAGTGTGGCATCTAAAATTCCAAAATTGCCTCAAAAATTGTTGCAAACAAAATCTACGCAACCATCATTGGCTAGGAGCTCCACTTCAAAGGTTTCATCAAGTATGTAGTCTCTGGATCCTCGACCCCTTATCCCTCTCTACAATTTTCTTCCTCTCCTCACTATCATCTTTCTTGCTGGTTTCAGGTTCCAGGAAAATATCTGCCGGCGGTTCTTCAACTAAACCATCCAAACGATGGCAGTGAACTGAAATTTTTTTTGTTGGATAGAAGTCTAGAAAAAAGTCACTCAGGTTTAGTTTGTAATTATAGATTTAATATGCTTCTCACTCCACGATTATTCCTTTGGTTTCGGTCTGAAGATGTGGAGGGCTAACAGTAAACTGTAATGTTCACTTGTAATTATATTCAAGGATCATCTTATTTTAGCCATTTCACTCCTGGACCTGGTGTTAAATCCCTACATTTTGCAAACATGAATGTGCTGAAGGGGTGGAAAATATATTGGGGTTGGAGGTGTAGTTGTAAGGTATTTTCAGTGATTTTGCTGTTTGGAAATTAGATTGTGAGATTTGAACAGAGGTAATTGGCTAATTAAATTGTCTCCTCACGTCAAACTGGAATTGGAACTAAATTCCCACAATTTAAAAAAAAAAAAAAATCGAGAACTCACAAATGGCAATTAAAAGGTTCCATTTCTTCTTAAATCAGACTGGTGGGAGTGCTTAATTTGTTATTTTTTGGGGAAAAAAAAAACATTTGCTGTATTCTTCAATTTTGTTTCGCTGTATTTCTCAACATCACCTTGGAGGACTTATCATTAAATTACTCATTTGAAATTGTTA